ATGAGATGCCAGCTCTCCAGGTGGGTCAATTTTTGCAGTCAGTGGAGGGGTTATATCCCTAAGGGGGCCCAAGCCATTCTCGCTTCCACCCTGGGAGGACCAGACACTGGAGATGATTATCGAAATATTTTTAACCACCAGCCGGGTCCAGGCCTTTGTAGTGCCCCTGGAGCCCTCATTAAGCGATTCCTTGTTCAGAGAGATGAGGCAAGTGCACCCACTGGTCATCATGCCAGGGGCTTAGCATTTTTTCTTTGGAATGTGAATTAAGCATTGTCATAGTGAAGTATGCCCCAGTCCCCAGGGAGGGGAGAGCACGTCTTTCCCAGATCCGACCTTCATTCCTGGCACAGAACATCTTTCTTTTGGATTCTGAGCTTTTTCAGATAATTGTGTCAGGTTACATAAGGTTTTGAGATATGAACACTCAAAGGAAATTCCGCTGAGAGCAGGTCTGGGAGGTTCCGGTACACAGTTTGCTTTAAAGTATTCGAGGAAAAATTTAGGTGTCTCAGCCCTGCACGTTTTTGAAATAGAGGAAGAACAATTCTACATGTATGTACCATTCCCCATAGAAATGAGCAAGCAAAAAGATTCACACTGAAAGGAAAGACTCCTCCCTAGGAAGCCTGTGCAGGGGTGGGCATGGGGGGTCAGTAGCAAAGAGGGCAGCTGGGACCAGGCTGAAATCGAAATCCTTACCAGTCCGCGATCACTTTTTTCCTCCCCACTTTCTGCATCTTAGGTAACACATGTGGTAAATATAAGCCTTCAGTTTTCCAAGAAACAAAAAATAAAAACTGAATTACTGGCAAAGAAGCTTTAAAATCTTTGCTTCCTAGGACTCTGTGGGCATATTTTCCACACACCATGATTTTTTTATTTCATTTGCCTCCGAGGGGCGGCCCTCCAGCAGCTCTGTTGCATAAGGTGCTGTTTCCAAACACCTTGTCCCCAACTGGAGACACAGAGTAAGTTTTATCTAGGTCTAAGAAGAGTTCTGGAAGGGTGACATCGTGTTCCAAGACATACCAGTTATAGTCAACAGTAGGAAATCTGCCAGAGCCTTCTCACTGAGGAAGCTGAGGGAATATTTTAAATACCAAATGGCACTTCTTTCTTAAAGCCCCAAACAGTCTTAAAAACCACTTAACAAGGAGAAATTAATGGGAGGAAAATGTCTTGAATGTCCCAGCTTTACAAGGGACACACAAAAAATAGATTTACTACGTTGAAGGGATGGTAATGTAAGTCAATTTTTACACAAAAATAATTCAAGGAGTGGTTATTTATAACCACGAGCACTAGCCTTTCATTTGTTCCTTCTTTTATTCGACATACATTTCTCGAGGGCTTACTGTATTCCAGGCTCTGTGCTCGGGAAGCAATGGTGAGCAAGAAAAACTTCATTCCTTCCCTGGGGGGCTCTCTCTTTGGCTGGAGGGACAGGCCTTTATCAGATCATTACACAATCCAGGCACCCTGGACAGAAGGAACTAGAAAGTAGAGTCCCGTGGTGCTGTGGGAGTGATGGCCTCTTGTATTCTGGGGGCAGAAGCAGCTTTCCCAGAGGAAGTTCCAGGTAGAGTGAGCTTCAAGCACAAAGGCCCTTGGATAGAGAGGGCTGACTCTTCCCAGCTAGCAAGGCTGCAGAGGTCAGCAGGAACCAGTCTTAGAGACTGTGGTAGCTGTGGGAGAAGGAGGTTTTGATTCCAATTTCATGGCATATGGGAATACCTCTCCCTGAGGAGCAGGGAGAGTTGTTGAGGGTTGTAAGCAGGAAGTAAAATAATCAGCTTGGTATGTTTTTGTTTTTATCAAAGACAGCCAGAGGCAGTGAGGAGATGGTCTGATGGGGAAGGTGGGGTGGGAGACAAGGAGCCCCCAGTGGAAGCTGAGAGACCAGTTAGAAGGCTGCTATGTTGGCCAAGGCAAAATGATGCTGGTGGCCATGGGGACAAGCCAAGTGAATGGGCTGACTCATGCAGGCCCAGTGGAGAGGGTACTGTGACCTAGATGAAGTGGACCTGGTGAGCAAGAGCTATGGCCAACCATCTCCTACCCAGGCTAATTTAACATTTAAATTTAATTTCATTAGTTGATGAAATAGATAGCATTATTTCCTGATAGAAAGACAAGGATGGTCTAGATTATAGGTACCAATGATTAGTATCATTGAACACTCTTGAGTGCATTATTATAGTCTCAGGCCTCAAGCTAGCCCTGTGGAGTTGCAAGTTCACATATAAGCAAATTGAGATTTGGAGACTTAAAAAATTGCCCAGGTCACCAGCTGGTGACTGGTGGCAGTGGGATTGAACTAAGTAAGCAGGGACCAGCCCTGGGACAGGAAGTGCCAGGAAAGCCTGGGAGCACACTGGCTCTAATTAAGGACCTATGGCTTGTTTGGGCCCCGGCGGAATCAGCCAGCTTTGTCTGCCCTGGAGCCTCCTCTGGCAGTTTCAAAGAGTAACGTAAGTCAGCTCACACGCATGTGCAAGACCATAACAACACAGTTGGCCTTTTTTATCCGGTGGCCTAGGCTTTTCATCCTTGGGCAAACTTACATTTTACAGCAAGGAGCCACAGTTCCGGGCAGGAACAAATCCTCCCTGAGGGGCTGACTTCTGTCCCAGAAAAATGTGTCTCACATATTCATAGAAATTGGCAGAGGGAAGGGGCTAGATGAGCTAGAACAATACTCTAAGAAGGTAAAGGGAACCCTGTGGGAAAAGGCCTGAGGGTGGAAGCAAATGCGGCTGGTTCCAAGAGCAGTGGAAGAGTCACAGAGGACAGGTGTGAGCTCCGCAGACCAGAAGCCTGCCCAGCAGGGCCTTGGAAGCCATGTTTTGGCATTTTGATCCTAAAGGCAAAAGGGAGCCCTGGAAGTATCTTAAACAGGACTGATGAGGTGGTGTTGCACATTAGAAAGATTTCTCTGCCATCTGCCTGCCTAGAGATGAGCGATGTGTGGCCTTCTTCAATTGGTGATATCCTGGGCAGTGTCAGCTTCTGGATTGGGACCACAAGATGATGACAAACTCAGAAAGAATATGTGTTTGAACTGCCTGTGCCTTTAAAAAACAGATTTGGGATGAGAGAATTCCTATCTCAGAAAGCCTGGCCTGGAGTCACTCACAAAGCTGTCACGGGAATATGAGCTGTCATTTGGATTTTTGTTCAATTGAAAACAGCTTTAATTTACTATTATTATGTTTGCGCACTTAACCCTATTGGAAATCCTATTGTTGCTGTAACGAATTACCACAAATTTATTGTCTTTATAGTTCTGGAGGTCAAAAGTTGGAAATGGTCTCACTGAGCCAAAGTCAGGGTGATAGGGCTGGGTATGGTAGCTCATACCTGTAATCCTAGCACTCTGGGAGGCTGAGATGGGAGGATGGCTTGAGCTCAGGAGTTCAAAACCAGCTTGAGCAAAAGTGAGATCCCCATCTCTACTAAAAATAGAAAAATTAGTCAGGTATGTACTGGGAAGGCTGAGGCAGCAGGATAGCTTAAGCCCAGGAGTTTGAGGGTGCAGTGAACTATGATGATGTCACTGTACTCTACCTGGGGTGACAGAGCAAGACTGTTTCAAAAAAGC